CAGTCAGAGCTTTTCCAGGGCAAAGAGTACTGGTGAGGTGCAAGTACCAAGACTGATTTGATTCTACAGGATCGTGAGGTTCCTGGGGGCATGATGGAAAAGACCAAAGGAGTTAAGTTGGGGGGGAAGTGTCCACCTTCCTCTTGACATGCATCCATTACTTCCTTAGGGAAATTCAAACTACTTCAGGTAGCCCAAATATTAGTAGGCCTTCTGATCCATCCCTTAAAGAGTAAGCCCTAGTATGAGTTTTACTCATATATTTTTGAAACATCTTTCATAAAATAAATAGAATATAATTTTCATTTGGAATCAACTACCCAGTACAACAAAGCACTCTGTAACTTTCTTCCAATTTGTCATTGCTAAAAATGACGTGTCCTATGGATCCAGGTGTATTCATGAAAGAGTGACTCTCATAGAATCATAGATTTAGAGCTGGAAGGGGCCTTGGGGCCATCAAGTTCAATCCCTTCATTTGGCAGATGAAGAAACTGAGGCTGAGAGAAGTTAAATAATTTTGGAGTCATACAGCTAGTATCTGAAGTGTAATTTGAACTCAGATCTTCCTGACTCTCAAGCCTAGCACTCTATCCACCATGTCATGTTTTGTGGCATGGCTTTGCTGGACTAGAGGGCAACCCTGTTCTTGACTTCTCTATTCTTTCCCAAAGCCAGTCTGGTCCCATTGCACTTCTGGAACTCACACTGACATTACTATGTTGAACATTTCTAGGATTCCTGTGAACTTTTTGACTAAGGTAGAAAAGAAAGTTCCCTTGCCTCTAAGGCTGTTATCTGCTATTAGCAGTCTTACTTCAGACTGCTGTAAGAAAGTGATGTCAGAGGATGAGATGAATAGATAGCATCATGGAAGCAAGTTCTCAGGCTCCAGGTTAAGAAGCCCTGATCTAGAGTACACCCCCAAATCAACAAAAATGTAAAACTAGGAGACTAAAAGAATAGTGCTATCAATGAAAAGGCCAAACTGCTTTGCATGTGTCGAGTTTCAGGTAAATGTAAATGGTACATCCAAGAAGAGATGGATTAACAAACAGATGGAAATATGGGCCTAGAGCTCTTGGGAGAGGTGAGGGTGAGAGCCAAAAGTTGAAGGCAGAGGACGTGCCAAGGACAAAACCCTGGGAAATGACCAAGGCTAGGAGCTGAAAAAGAAAGGGGTGAACAAATCACAGACCTAGCTCCACAGAGCATTGAGTACAATCCCCTTATTTTATAGATGGGAAAACTAAGGCCCAGGGAGGTTAAATGCCTTGCCCAAGATTACACACATAAGAAGCATCAGAGGTGGGATCTGAACCCAGGTCTTCTTACTTCAGAGCCAGTGCTCCTTCTACTGCATCGTGCTAGCTCCCTAATAAGAACTAGGAAAGAACAATGTCTTAGAAGTCAAAGAGAGAGTTCCAAGAAGAAGGGAAGAATAACAATATCTAACATGCATGTAGTCCTTTAAGATTTGCAAGCCTTTTACACTTTCCAACATTCCTGTGTGGTAGTACTGTCCCCAATTTACAGATGAGGAAACTGAGGGTCAGAAAACAAGTTAAATAACTGGCCCAAGGTGATATAGCTTAGAAGTTGCAATGGGGGTGGGGGAGGGGATTTGAACCTAGCTCTCTGCTGACCCCCAGTCCAGTCCCATTTCTAACAGGTCACAAATGTTTCAGAAGGGTCACGAAAGATGTGAGCTGGGGCAGCTAGGTGGCGCAGTGAATGGAGAATGGGCCCTGGGGTCAGAGGGACCTGAGTTCAAAACCAGCCTCAAATATCTAACACTTACTAGCTGCATGACCTTGGGCAAGTCACTTAACCCCATTGCCTCATTAAAAAAAAAGAAAGAAAGAAAGAAAGGTGTGGGCTAAGAGGTCATTAAATCTGAGTATAACACTGCCATTAGTGGTTTTGATAAGAGCAGTCTCTGAAGCATTTGAGTGGTGGAAGCCAGATGGCTGAGGACTGAAGTAGGAAGGGTGCATTGAAAACAGAAGCCATAGAAAGATAAGCAATCCCACAAGCATCAAGGACACGTACAAGGGTCCCCAAGAACATGAATTTCTAAAATAGGAGACACACAGACAGGAAAGACAGACAAAGTGAGAGAGACGCAGAAAGAAAGAGAGAAATAAAGTGAGAGAGACACAGAAAGAGAGGGTGAGAGAACAGAGACAGACAGACAGAGACAGAGACAGAGAGAGAAGAGTAAAAATAAGGAGAGAGAGACAAAGTAAGAAAGAGAGAAACAAAGTGACAGAGACAGAGAGGGGGAGGAGGGAGGGGGGAGAGAGAAAGAGATAGAGAGGAGACAGACAAAGTGAGAGAGAGAGAGAAGAGACTAAAAGAAAAGAGAGAGGGGGAGGAAGAGAGGACAGAGAGAGAGAGACACACACAGAGAGAGAAAGAGAAACAGAGAGGAGACAGACAAAGTGAGAGAGAGTAGAGAGTAAAAGAAAAGGGGGGGAAGGAAGAGAGGACAGAGAGAGAGACACACACATGGAGAGATAGAGAGAGAAAAGAGTAGAAGAAAGACAAGAGAGAGACAAAGTGAAAGAGACAGAGACACACAGAGGGGGAGAAAGAAAAAGAGAAGATAGAGTAAGAGAGAAGAGAAGGAGAATGAGAGTGAAAGAAAGAGGATACCATCAACCGGGAGATACAGATGTAGATTATGATAGATGGAGTGGGCTATTAATCAAATGACTGGTCAAATTCAACATCTGGTCAGCTCTATGCAACCAGTCACTAAACAACTATCAGAGGAAGTAATCGTGCGAAAGAAGGATATGAAGGTTCAAGCGGGCCCAAGGGTTCCCTCACCCAGGACATGGAAATTTCTTACATACACATATGTGTGTATGTGTATGTACACATATGTGTGTGTATATACCTGGATATAAGTGTGTGTATACACACATGCATTTTCTACCTTCCCTCAGGAAAAGCAGCAAGTTAAAGAGGATAGGGAGCTGGTTTCAAAACCAGGAAGACCTGGGTTCGAATTCTGCAACTGACACATACTGGCTGGGTGACCCAAGGAACATCATTGAACCTCTCAGCATTCTAGTCAACTCTCTAAGCCTACATGTCAGAAGGCGCTAGCCTGCATCAGAAGAGGGAGTCTCCTCACCCCAAAGTTTCCTATACCATTGAAATCACAGCTCTGATCCTTGTCCCTTTATATGCCTTCGCACCAGAGTCAAATTGAGCTCACTGAATTGACTTGTTGTTTGATTTAACTGGCTGAGTCACCTTACAGTTCTGGCCGTGGGTATTGCGCAATCAGAGGGTAAAAAATACAGTATCTAAAAATGGTTGGATACTTGATATAATTGAAGCCCTGGAAAGCAGAATATCAGTGTTGAAAGAATCCTTAGGAGGTAGAGAACAGAATCCAAATCCGGGAGGCCCTTAAAATATAGACCAAAGAATGTTAGAACAGTAAGGACTTTTGAACACAGAATATAAAACATTAGTACTCTAAGAGACCTTAAATTAAAATACAAAACATTCAGAGATGTCATATCTTATAGCACAGAATTCCAGATCTGAAAAAGTCTTAAGAGATTAACCCGTTCCTTGTACAGATGGCAAAGTAAAGCCTTCAGAGGTTAAATGACTTGACCAAGGTCATAAAGTAAGTCAGCGTACGAGCTGCAGACCAGAACCAAGTTCTGCTTACTTTCTACCAACATTCTTTCAGCTGCACCACAACGCCAGAAGTGAGTGCAAGGGATGCAGTATGGCAGATGCGAATAGATTTAGGGTTCAAAGACATGCAAAAGTCAATAAAGAACCAGGGACTTTTCTTAACAGTTGGGAAAAGAAACAATACAGAGAATGATTAGACAAGAAGAGGGCTGTAGGGATTTTTTCCCCCAAAGCCCTCCCCCACCACACACACATTAAACAAATAGCCTTGTGAAATAACATAATTCCTGCCCAATGAAATTTTCACAAGGATAAATGTAACCCAGCAGTAAATTTGTGTAACCTTCCTTACATCACTTTGATGGAACAATGGGAGTGAAGAAAAAGAATTTCATTGTATTAGAATTTTCCAAGACATTCTCCCTAACCCCTCCCCACTACCCTGCCTCACCCCAGGAGCCTGACAGAAATCTGTCAGAAGGGCCAAAAATAATTTTCTTGGGGAAGTAGTCATGACTTGCCCCTATCTGTTTCATTTCCTTGAACAAAGATTCAAGACTTTGAGCAACAGAGTGACATTGTTTGTCAGTTGGGGGTCAGGAAAAGGAGAGAAAAGGAGATTTGGGGACTGTGAATTGCAAAGAGGGATCAGAGACAGTTGAATGCAGGTGACTTGGCATTGTCTGAGCAGAACTGAAGGGTCTCCTCACCCTTCTCTTGCTCTCCAGCACCATACAATGGGCTATAGACTCATGGACTCAAACTGTTAGAAGAAGAAGAGGTCTTAGATATCATCTACTCCAACCCACTCATTGTACAGATGAGAAATGAAGGTCCCCAGAACGGGAAACGATTTGGCCATACAAGGTCAAACACATTGGTCCCAGTCAAAATCCAGGATTCTTTCAACTCTAACAGGATGCATACACTACCTCAGGGATAGGGCCTAGGAACTGCCACCAAAATGCTTACAAACAATCCATTGGGCCCAAGATAGGGATCTCTCCTGGCAGGGAGAGAAAAGTTGGTCTCAATTCTTTGCTGCCCCTATACCCTCTCTTCTACACAATGAGGGTCTCTATATACTCATTACTACACATCCAGGACCATTTCTTAGCTGACTTCAGATAAGCCCTATGTAAAGGTCACCATTTGAGTGGCAGCTGTTAGGAGGAGCCCTGAGAAGTCTAAGGGGAAGCTTTGGAGGGCTCTCCAGGAAGCACGGCTGGGCTGGTCTGGACCAGCTGTCACCAGGGGAGAACTCACACATCATCTAAGTAAACAATGGGTGGGTATAAATCGCCTGGGTGAGTGAGACCAGCAAAGCACTCCCAGCCCAGGACAGGTAAGGAAGAGATGGGGAAGCAAATGGGCCCTAAGATCATATCTGAGCCCAGAATCTGAGGGGCAGGAGATGGTGATGGGAATGAGGATGAGACTTCTAGACTCAGACCTAGAGACATCAGAGCTTTCAAAGCTCAGAAGAGACAGATGAGAAGCTATGATCTAGGGGGAGCTGAGAAGCATGGGACAGAATAGAGAAGGAATAGGAGGAGTCCCTCAAGATGCTAAGTGGAGCAATGGGTGGAACTCTGGGTTTAGAGTGAAAAAATACCTGAGTTCAAATCCTGCCTTAATCACTTACCAGCTATGACTCTGGGCAAATCATATAACCTCTCAGCCCCAGTTTGCTCGTCTATAAAATGAGCAGCCTAGACTTTATGGCCTCTAAGGTCACTTTCCAGCTCTAAATCTATGGGCCTATGATCACCATGCAATCTTTGCTCTAACACTCAATTCTCCTCCTTTCCCAGCTATCTCTCCAGGCTGGGTCCACAGGGCCTCACTTCTGGAGGACCAGAGTTGGAATCCTAGCTCTCTGCAGATCACTACCTGTATGACATTAGGAAGTTACCTCTTTTGCTTAATTCTAGCTTTCTAAGGTTCCTCTCAGCTCTAAATTCTATGACCAGCATCCCACCTCTTGACAGAGGGGTGTTGGCATACAGGTGCAGAATGAGGCATACATTTTCAGACATGGGCAACATGTTGATTTGTTTTGTTTGACTCTACTTATTACAAAGCAGGGCTTGGGATTCAATGGTGTGGAGGCGATTAGGGCAAGGGAGGGAACAGTAGGTAGTGAGAGAGAAGCAGGAAAAAAAGGGCATTGAAAAAATATTTTCAAATACATAGAAGAAAAAAAAGATTTCCTGAAAGATAATGAACAGGGCAATTTTGTTGCTACCTTGTGAAATTTAATAGCCCCTCTAAGTATAACTAGGTGAAAAAGTACATTTGGACTCAAGATTTGACATACATTTTTGTTCTTTGTATATGAAAATGTTTGTACTTGTTGACGGTTGTTAAGCTCATAATAAGAAAAAAAGAACATTTAGAAAGTAAACACATAAATCATATGGTCCTATGGTTTTTATAGGTCACTGTATCTTCTTTCCAGACCATGCAATCCTTCCTGGTCCTCGTCCTCTTGGGAGGAATACTCTGCAGTTTCCATGGTAAGTCTTGATTCCTCCTTAGATTCTGGTCACAGCATTCTATTCTGCCTACCTTCCCAACCTACCCATCCACAGTGCAACATGAGGACTGAGGAAAACTGGGGCCACAGACCCTCAGGTTGGACAGCTCCTGCTGAAGCCTTCAAAGAACTATTCTTCCCTCACACCCCTGATTTCTTTTGGCTCTGCCTATTACACAGTCCTTAAAAACCTCCTTTGACAAACAGGGGTCTGAGGATTTTTATAGGGTTTAGTGGGGGAGTGGACCTGGTGTGAAAAGGAAAACATAGAGAATTTTCTCTGGGCTTCAGGAAAAGGGATCCCAAGCTCTAAGCAACTAGTCACCCAAACTGGTGGTACAACAATGTGGATCATGTGACATAGGGCTTGGCCTGACTGTAACAGGGATTTCTTGATAGATCTGCAATGCCCTACCAAGCATGCCTCAGGGAAACTTAGAGTCCTATCCTTGTGGGAAGCAGAAGGGCAGCCATGACCAGGTAATCCATCATTCCTTTGTTTCCCTATCTTCTAGAGGGGCATAGTGCTAGAATTTTATCTATCACACAGCAGATGTTTGTAGTCTAGAAGTACAATTATTTTGCTGGTTCCAGGATAAAAACCACTTCCCCTGATCAGGGAAGGTGGGAGTTGTGGGAAGTAGTTTCACCTCAGACTGGAAGATAATAGCTTAACCTCAGCCAGCTCCACTCCCCTCCCACCAAACACTTATTACACAATCACAGATAGCAAGCAGTCACTTATTAAAGCAAACAAGTGAAATGGAAATCTGGAAGCCATTCAAACTAGTTTAGATAATAGAATAAAGAAGTGTAGAAAAGGCTCTGAGATCCAGGAATGAGATGAAATCTCAGCTCAAACAAAGAGAGAAAAATCTCATCCAACAAACCCACTCTTAGCAGGTGCTGGGAATCAAGGGACGTGTTCGGGGTGATAGCTCTTCCTCACTGCCTATGGTCTTGGGGCCACCTATTCACTGTTCAAAGTTTCCATCTTGCCTCCTCTCTCCATCGTCTCACTTCTCTCTCAGAAATCTCTCCACCAAGCACAAGTCTCATCTCCCTGCAGGCATGCAGCATCACAGGGCTAGCCTCTGAAGGTCTGCCTGGGGGTGGGAACACACTAGAAAACTTGATCATCTTGGCCTTCTCCCCCCTATTCGTTCCCAACCATCAAGTCCAACTGGTTGTAGTTTTGAAATGTCTCTTGCATCCATTCCTTCCTTTCCACTCCTACCTCTACCTTTATCATTTCTCATCTGGTAATAGCCACTTCACTGATCTCCCTGCCTCTATTCTCTCACCATTTCCAATCCATCCTGCACACACTACCAGAATAATCTTCCCAATACATGACTTTGAGCCGTGTCCCTGCCTTGAGCAAAAATGTTCAATGCTTCCCCATTGCTTACCAAAAAAGAATATAAATTTCTTATTTGGGGGTTCAAGACTATTCACAGCCTAGTTTCATCCTTGAAAAGTCTGCCCTTCACACATTCTGGCTTAGCCTCTCTGGGTTACTGGCCATTACCTGATCTTGTACTGTCTACTCCTGACTCAGGCAGATGCCCGTGCCTGGGACAGACTTGCCCCATGTTCAGCTCTCCCCCTTCTGAAAACCTCTCCTACAAGACCCTAATCAGGTGCCTTCCCTGGTAGCCCATCAAGAATTCAACTCAATTAAAAAACATCTAATCACTGCCTACTATGTGTACTCTCTCTGCCTACCCTCCAAGGCTCTCTGTCAGGTACAAAAATGAAACAGTCCCTGCCCTCAAGGAGCTTACATTCTACTGCTATTGACTTCTTCTTCCTTGAATCTCTCAGGACTCTCTGTTGAGCTTGTCCTGGGCACTTGAATCATTTTCAACTTGTGTTTTGGTTATTGGTGGGCATATCTCTTCCCCTCCTGCTAGACTGTGAGTTCCTTAAAGGCAAAGAACATATGCCATTTCATCACTGCATCTACTACAGTGTGTTAAATGGGATGGAATGCAATGGAGCTCAGAGGGTTTCTTGAATGTTTTGGAGGATGAGGACCCTTTTGGGTGTTACCAAAAAATATCCTAGATGCCTTATCATAATAGCTGTACCTGAGACACATGTTATGATAAAATAAAGCATGGTGAGACTCTGACCCCTTTCTATAACTCTTCAGCCCCCCTACCCACCCATCCTACCTACACACAACTCACACACACACACACACACACACACACACACACACACACACACACCCCTCCCACAGTCCCTGGCTCACAGTTTGAGAATCATTGCTCTAAAGTACTGGACTTGGAATCAGCAACACCTAAAGGCTAGCTCTGACACTAATTGACTCTGTGACCCTGGTCAGGTCACTTAACCACCACCAGCCTCAATGTCCCTGTCTGTAAAATGGAGATCATAATAACACCTCCCAAGGTTATTGTGACAATGAAATGAGATAACATCTGTAAAATGACTTGCACACCACTATATGCATACTGGCTGTTACTATTATTGCAAGTTTCAAAAGTCACGTCTAGGACATCACAGTCTCTAAGCTATTCCAGGAACAGGATAGATCAAGAGATGACAATAATTTAAAAAAATAAACAAGAAAAAGGTAATGTCCTGAAGTAGGGGTGGTATAGAAGAAAGACTGTTAGACCAGCAGTCAGGAAGAGCAAGGTCCTTGGCAAGTCACTTCAATTTGATAGCTTTTTATTTCAACTATATAGAAGTATTTTTACCCTTTCTGAGCTTTGCTTTGTTCATCTGTGAGATAAAGGCATGGGACTCAGAGATGGCCAAGATGATTTCTGGCTATTTAAGCCTATGTTCTAAAAATCATTGTGGTTGTTCAGTTGTTTCTGACTCTTTGTGACCCCATTCGGGGTTTTCTTGGCAAAGATACTGGAGTGGTTTGCCATTTCCTTCTCCAGATCATTTTACAAAAGAGGACACTGAGGTAAACATGGTGAAGTGACTTGCCCAGGATCACACAACTTAGTCAGTGTCTGAATTCTTTGTATTCATAGAGCACATTGGAACTTCAAAATTGCCATCATACCCACTGATTCATTTGATAATGATAACTATAATAGTGTGCCCCAGGGAGACCTCAGAAAATATAAGAAGCCCTGGGGAGAAGGAGGATTGTTGAAAAGAAGAGGCCAGATCTCTCCCTTCCCCTGCCTATAGGTGACAAACCTCAGAGCCAAGAACTTTTTTTCATATGACTATAGAAGGCTTTGACTTCTACTTCTGAAAACTACCTGTTCATACCCATTTATAGTGGGTGTAGAAGAGTTTTGTGTTATTTAAATTTTTTTTCCTTTGTATTTGAAGATCTTTCTCAAGATCTCTTAGAACTTGCTTCTTAACTGAACTGTTGAATTTAACTACTCTGTCTAGAAGTTTGTAGCCTTGAGGTTTTATTGGGATTTTTTTTCTGGAGTTAATCTATGAATTCTTTCCATTGTCTGTATTCAGAAGTTCTGAGAAGTCCTCTTGTGTTATTTCCAGTATTATGGTGTTGAGTTTCTTAGTCCTATTACATTTTCTGGGAAACCTATAACCCTTAGATTGTTTCTATGCATCTTCTCTTTGAAATCAGTATGTATTGCTTGCATAGTGAGCAGATTTTCTTTTAATATTATTGTTTTTTTGCTTCTCTTCTTCTAGATTGTCTTCTACTTCTGTATATTTGCATTGCCAACCTATTGCTCTTTCTTTTGTTTCTCTGGCAAGATTTGCAAGATTCCAGTTTTTCTATCCTGATCATTATTTTTGCTATGCAGGCCATAAATTCTGCCCTCAGAATTCATATGTTCTTTCCCTTTGGCTTAGTGGAGTGATCCATAGCCCCCCACACATGGTGTCTTATTTCACTGCCTCTATTCTTCAGTTTTCTAGGCCATCACTGGCAGTTCAGAGAGCTGCCTTCCTGGTGCTATGGGGCTATCCACTCTGGCACTGACAACCATGGAACCAGCAGTTCAGAGTGCTGCTCCTACAAGGTTGTGCCCCCCTCCCTGAGGTTTTTGCTCCTGGGAGAGCTGCCATTGCACTGGCTGCCCATTGCAGCCCAAGGAAACTTCTGTATCCTGGAACTGGGGTCTCCCTAGGAAGAGGGAAGGAGTATGGAGTGTGGGATTGGGTTTTGTTGCAAGCCATCAGGTCCTTGGGTCTACTAGTGCAGCCTCATTGCTGGTAGCATGGATGATGGGGGGCAGGGAAGACATATTGCCTGAGCTTGGTGAATGTCAATTCGTGGGTGTGGGGGAGGGGTTACTTTCTTTAGGATTTTGGGTGACCTAGACCAGGGAGACAGCTCAAGTTGCTTTCTTTTTGTTTGCATAACTTCTATTTTGGAGAAGTCAGAGAGGTCCCAAGGTGCAGCAAGACATTTCTAGTCCTCCGTTTTGTTGCTTTGTGACCCCAACCATCAATATTAGTATTGTTGTTATTATCATTATTATTATCGAAGCTCCATTCTAGCTCTAAATTTAACATCCTGTTAGATGTGGAATATGAACATCTTGACCCTTTTGGAGTCTCATCAGATAATTTGCTTCATAGGAACTGCCTACAGCTCCTGAGCTGTGAGTTGTCTTGACCACCCATATTCCCTATACAGATTTCTCACACCATCTTTATGGAGGGGAAATACCTATGCCTTTGAGCCTTTGCTAAAGTACTAAGTCATTAGGAGAAAGGCCAGAGGGGATGCTCCATCTCCATTATTTCATTATCTTTGTACATTCAGAACAACTCATTCCTCAGGCCTGGAATCTGGTCCCCCCTCATCACTGCCCCTCAGAATCTTTATCTTCCTTCAGGTGCCACCTCCTTCATGACATCATCCTTGATTCCCCCAATTGTCAGGGCTCTCTTCCACTTCAAATTACCTCCTATTTACTTCTCGGTGCACATGCTATTCATCCCAGTGTCCCAACCCTACTCCCAACCCCAATAGAATTTAAGCTCCTTGAGGGCAGGGACTGTTTTATTGCCTGTATCCCCAGTGCCTAGGAAAGTGTCATGCAGATAGCAGATACTTCAGAAACTGAACTGAATGAAATTTAATCCTCACCGTAAGCCTGCAGGGTTAGCCCTATTTTTCAAGTCAGGAAACTGGCTCTCAGAGAAGCTAAGGGACCAGACCCATGCCCACCCAAATGAGTTACAGCAGTAACCATTTGGAGATCTCTCAGATCTCCAAACTCCTAATCCTCCTCCACATGTCACACCTCACAGCAATGCTTCTCTTCTTTCTGCCCCCTCTAGGTGTACTTTCAGAGGAGTTTAGTGGCCTTGGTACAGGCTTTTTCTCCATTACTAAGGATAAGCCTGAAGACACTGTGAGGGCTCTGCGGTTCTTTTTTGGACCATTGGGCTTCTTAAAAGCGTAAGTAGAACCAATGGAATCCCCATGCCTCTTCCACCCAATCCAGCTTGCCCTGCAACCATGAGTCTGGTTCTTTGCTGTAAAGTCCCTTTGTTCCAGCTTCCACTCCTTGTCCATAGTCCACCTTAGCCTTCCCACAACAATGATGACCTCTGTAAATGGACTTTTAAAGGCAATGAGCACTGAGGCAGGAGACCAGAGCTCTGGCCTAGGAGTCCCAAAGGGCCCACTCATTATCTGTGTAATCTTGGAGAACTCATGACCTCTCTAAGCTTTGGTTTCCTCATCAGTCTAATGATGGATTGCATTAGATGATTTCCAAGATTCCTTCTAACTCTGATATCCCAGGAGTCTGGTCCAATATTTCATGTTCTAAGGTCCCTCTCAGCTCCAACATTCCAAGTTCCTAATTGCACAAGATTCTATGCTGGGTTTCACACATGGACAGAGCCTCTGCTTTCTGAGGACTTATAATCAATATGTCCTATATACTGACATAGGACATAAACTGCAGAACTAAACTAGGGTTCATGCATGGGCAACATGTAAGAAAGTTTTTAACACTGGGGTTGCCTGGGTGGGAGGGCACACACATGAGGAGGGAGGCCTCATGAAGGCCCACCATGCTACTCATTTTCCAGGTTGTCTCCTCCCATCCCAGGACCCACAGTAACCCCAGCTTTAGAAAAACTCAAGCTTAGTGTCTGAAGCCATAGCTCCTCTAACTGGCTTTCACCAGGCAGTTAGACAGACTTCCCACTCATGTACAGATAACAACTGTTCTTTGCCTTATTTATGAGAGTCTCAACTTCCCTCTTCTCCTTTTCCATTTTCTGCCCCCCTTAACCTGGAGCCATGAGGGAATGAATGAATGAATGAATGAATGAATGAATGGATGAATGATCAGAATCAAAGAATGTCATCACTGACAGGAGCTTTGAGAACAACTCCAGCCCCTTCATTTTGCAGATCATAGGATCTAGAGCTGGGATGAACCTCAGAAGTCATCTAGTCCAACTCATTTTACAAATGAGGAAACTGAGAAGTTTTTAGAAGCTCAGAAAGAAGCACAAGAAAGTTAAGTTACTAGTTCAAATGCAGTTAGTAAGTTGATCGACCAAGATTCAAACCCAAGTCCTCTCACTCTAGACCAATTTCTCTTTCCTCTATAACATCTGCTCTCATTGCCTCAGAAGGGGTAGGACTTAGTAACACAGAGATGATATGGCAAGAAGGAACAAAAAATGTCCCTCCAGAAAATCATTTCTATAGTATTCTACCTTTTATACAGCATTTTCTCTAAAACAACCCTAAGAGATGAATAATGCATGCATAATCATCCCCATTTCACAGATGAGAGATGTAGAATTTAAAGAAGGTATTCACAAAGTCACCGTTACTCAGACACCCATAGCTAGTAAGCATCAGAGCCTGGGTCTGTTGACTCCAAGTCCATGTTCTTTCTACTACCCTGAGATGTAGAGTATAAGGAAAGTGAGAAGCTCTGTTTTTTGAAAATGGTGATAAGATGTATTCCCATTATGGCTGGCAGACCAAACTCAGGGGAGACATCAGAGATGGACTGGGAGAGTCCCCTGCACAGGCAAGGTCATGTTGTCTGTGGACTTCTTTGTGTTTGGCAAGGAGAGCAGGTGAACAGAGCAGGGTACATTATCAGCAGATCGGGCAACTCCAAGAAGAATAAAGAAAGGTTTCAATGGGAAGCAGGAATGGTAACAGATCAGGGAGAAAGGGCTCAGTCAAGCACCATCCAAGCATTGTCTGTTTATGAGGGTTACATCCTTTCATATTTCCTGTGTTAGAAATTCAAACATCAAGTATTATGATGAAAATTATTTTGACCTCACAGACTCCCTGAGAGGACCTCAGGGACCCACTAGGGTCCCTGGATGACCCTTTAAGAAGTACTGTGACTAGCTGTGTGACCCTGGGCAAGTCACTTAACCCCCATTGCCTCACTAAAAAGAAAAAAAAAAGGACTGTGCCTGCTGCTTAGGGAGAGATGTTTGGAGAAGACACAGTACCTTGGGAAGCTTACAGTCTAATACAGGGATGTACAAATGGTTTAGTTTTTTCTAAATGAGTAAGACATACATAGATACAGTGCTGTGGGATTAAAAAACAAAAGGTGCTTAGGAAGTCATTAGTGCCTGGAGAAAGCAGCTGTAATGCAGTGGTGGAGACAGAAGCTGGCTTGCAAGAGGATGAGGAGTATGTGGGTGGTAAGAAAGTAAAGGCACCAAGCCAGTAAGGGCTACACCGAGGGGAAGAAGGGAGATGAGGTAATAGCTTAAGGGATATCCAAAGGCTTGTTTAGGGAAGGGAAGACAGACCAAGAGCCCCTTACTTGGTTCTAGGTGTCTCTCCTCCCATTTTGTTCCCAGATTTTCATCACCACCAAGCAGGTGCTCTCCTCTAGTTCCAGTTCCTATAACACGTCTGCCATCGAGAGCAGCTCCGTCCTGTTCCCTAGAACTTTCTCAATGGGCCACTTTCTTTCTCTGGGCCTTCCACCAAGATGGCTAGATCAGACTATCATCCAGGGCTGGAAGGGACCTTGGAAACCATCTAGTCCAACCCCTCATTTTGGAGATGGGAAAGTTAAGGTCCAAAGAAAGAACATGACTTGTTGGAGCAGAAGAGCCAAAAGTTGAACCCAGGTACTCAGACTCTAAACCCAACACTTTCTACAATGCCTTGCAGTCCTGCTTTGGTAGCATTGTTCAGCCTGAAGCTCAGAGTTCTTCTGTCTCCACCACTAAGGGTTTTATTATCCATTACTAACTCTTAAGTTTTCTTTAGGGTTTTTTTTTGGGGGGGGGATGGGGAGGTTGGCAGTTGTGGTTACATACTTGCCCAGGGTCACATAGCTAGTAAGTGTCTGAGGAAGAATTTGAACTCAGGTCCTCCTGACTCTAGGGCCAGTGCTCTATCCACTGTGCCACCTAGCTGCCCTATCCATTACTAACTCTTACCAGTTGTGTTAGTCATTGAGGGTACCTACTAAACACACTGCTGGGATTACCCACGCCCAAGACCCCACGCAATTTGAGAGGATAGGACACAGAGAGGTCCTGTTTCTTGTGGCAACTGAGTTTAAAAAACAATTGAGGATAACTGATGAAGAAAAGAAGGATAAATATGGATGATTTAGAGAAATGTGGAAAGACCGTTGCAGAGTGAAATGAACAAAAGTTCACATGATGACCATAATAATAAAGTGAGAGACAACTTTGAAAGACCTCAGAATTCTGACCAAAGCAGTCATCAATCATGACTTCAAAAGAACTGGATAAAAACACATGTGGTGACAGCCTAGTGGTATAGGGTCAGATATATATTCTCACACATGACCAGTGTGTAGAATGATTTTGCTCGACTATATGTATGTATTACAAGGTATTACTCATTGGGGGAGGGGAAAAGAGAATGAAGGGTTAGTGGATAGTGAAAGACATAAGGAGGAAAAAGAGGATAAGGAAAATATTTTTTAAAAGAGAGAGAGAGAGGTCAGGTGTGGTTTTCAGTACCTTACAGGGGACACTAGATATTTTCTACAACTTCAACGCAAATCATTTCACATGACTGGCTCAGTTTCCTCATATGTAAAATGAGGGGGAGGGGCTTGAATGCTATGACCTCTAAGGTCCCTTCTAGTTCTGAATCCCATGACAGAAGCATATGGACTTAGCATCCACCCTTTATGACGGGTCATCACATAGAAGTCACTCAGTGAAGGTCTGTTAATAATAGAATTGTAGAACCACCAAATGCCAGAGCCTGAAGAGCTCGAGTGTAGAATGTCAGATCTGGGACAGCCCTTAGAACATAAAACAGACTGTGAGGACAGGAAGGGCCCCAGAAAAAAATACAAGAGAATGACATTAATGAGAACTGATAGACCTTAAAGATATAGATGCGAAACAGGTTCATTTAAGAAACTTGCCTTGATGCTGGACTGGAGACAGGGAAATCAGAATTCACATTTATTTAGCCCTTTTAAGTCTGCCAAGTGTTTTCCTCACAATAAGTCTGCAAGGCAGGCACTGCAAATATTACTATCCCTAGTTTTACAGATGAGGGAAATGACACCTAAAAACATGAAATCAGTTGCTCAACATCACCCAGATAATAAAGAGTCAGAAGGAGAATTGGACCATGGTCTCTTGGCTCCAAGTTCAGAATTCTTTCCACTACAGTGTCTTACAAATGTCCCTACAGAGATAACATATCATGAAAGAATTTCTGGCTATACAACATGCAATGGAGGCTGTAGAATCACCTTTCCTGGAGATCACCCAGAACAGAAACTATGAACAACCCTCAACTTCTCTGCCAACCTCCAACTTCTCTCCCATAATTTACTATCCAGTTTAGGAAGGTGTTTCGCTATCTAGAGACAAAGGCTGGGGGAGATAACTCTGGGGTTCAAAGGAATTTTAAAACTTTCCTTTTCTTCCAGCGTGCAGGTAAAAATAAATGATCAGTGGAGTTCCAGACACGGAGTCTTAGGGGGCAGAGCACAAGATATCATACTCTGGGACGGAGAAAGCATAACAAAAGTGTCAGGCCAGGGTGGGCTCTGCATCCGTTATTTGGAGATCGAAACCAGCACAGGGAGAATTTTTAAACTCGGAAAGCCTGTCGGCAAGAAGTTTGACGATTCCCCGCCTTATGAGGATATGGAGCTCAGTGGCATCAAAGGTGTACATGGGCTTATATGTATCAAACAATTGAAATGTGACTGGTCATACATTTATGAAGTACCCACCACAACTGAAATAACTTCGCCAACTGTTGATCCCCTTCCCGAAGACACCTCAGCTGTGACTGATGAAAGCACCTAAGGGCTTTCCACATAGCTTAGCTGGATTGCCATTAAAGGCACCTCAACTTAACGACGCTGCTGCTTAGCATCCTACAACTACTGCCCACTATACTAAGCCATCTGTCCCTGCTAGAAAAGATCTAAAGCTATAGTCACCCTGAGTTTTTTTAAGGCTGTATATACCATGACCTGGGTTACTCTTCCAGAGACCTGGAGCCGATGGCTGGCCTAAGGTCCCTGGAATCTGGGAGGGGAGAGGGTACCCATGACCCAGATGATGTGACTCCCCTGGAAGCTGCTGGTCTAAAAGTGAAGGGAGGAAAGGACTTAAGACTGTATTGGGGGAGAACACCCTGAGAAGATTTAAGTGTCTAATCAGCCAATAAAGCTTCTGCAAAAGCTGTGTCCCACGTTATGAACTGTGTTCTTTGTCGGGAAATGAATTGGGGGATTATGGGGACAAATGTGGTAGCAACAGAGGTTCTCACTCTGATATAGGAAACCCTCAAAACAGCAAAAATAGGGGCTGTCTGCTGTGGCAAGGGGGAACTGAGTAAGGTCAGGACATAGTAGTCCTTCAATTGCTTCCTGTAGGACCAAAAGGCCATGAAGGATATGTGCTCAAATCCAGGGAACATTTGGGTCCTTTCCCCATGTCCTTTTTCTGAACTTTGGGTATTAGAGCACTGAGGGTATCCTCAGTAAGGAAACCTGGGTCCAACTCCTATTTCTGACATTTATTAGTGCTATGGGGCCATGGTGGACTGACTTTGACTACCCTACCTCACCCCTCACTCACTTTCCTCATCTGTTAAATGGGGGAAATAATTTTGCACTGAGCTACCTCATTCGGTTGGAAGGAGAATGTTGTGTAAACTGTGAAATTCAAGGCAAATGGAAGCAATCATGGCAATTTGTGACCTTTTCTTTTAAGTACACTATCAGCCCTCTCCTATAACAATAATAGCTAACATTTATGTAGTGACTACTGCGTGCAGGCCACTGTGGCTAAGCACTTCAAAAATGTTATCTCATTTGCTCTTCACAACAACCCTGGGAAACGGGTGCTGTTATGATCATCAAACAGGTTAAATGACTTGTCCAAGGTCATACCAGTATTACATGTCTGAGGTTCAATTTAAACTCAGATCTTCCCAACTCCAGCACTGGCACTCTATCCACTGTGCCACCAGCTGCCTCCTCCTATGGGCAAGATTCTGTGACAGTTGCTTACGAGTAGAGGGAGTGTGCAGATATTCTGAGAGATCCGTGTGTCCACACCTGGCTTGTTTCCCTTTTTCTTCTATTTATAATGAGCATCAGGCTGTCATATGATTAAATAATTAACCTGTTCCAGGGGTGAAGTATATGATTTGGCCAGCATATGTCATTCTGACAACCCATGGAAAGCTTATTCCCTCTCCACTTCTATCACTATCTGGCTGCCATCTACCCTGACCTGAGCTGGTCCAAGGTTCAAAGATATTTAGAAATAGGATCTGCAGAAGGACTTCCTAACTTTTGTATCATGGAGCCTTTTGACCTTTTGGTTAAAAAGTGTTTTTACATTTAACTGTGGAAAAATAAAATATTAAATATTAAAATTATAATTATTATAAAATCATACATGTGATATGCTACCTATAAATATATTTATGTTAAATATTTGAACATAAGTACATATAAATATATAAAATAAATCTTAAAAGTAAGTTATTAAAAATAATAATAATATCCTTCAGCTGCTTTGTAGAGTTAGGCACATGGTCTTTGAAAGCCCTGGACTTAATTGCAATAAAGGGGCCATAATGTGGGGTTTAACTGTTTTTTAAAAAATGGTCATTCCAGGTGATTCCTATATGAGGTACACAAATGAGTTCATTGAATGAATTAGAAAAGGATAAAGTGGATGAAATTGGACATGTCCCTTGAGTGACCTTTAAAAGTCAACTCAAAGGAGGTAGAAGTCAGACTCAAAGAGTTCCTAATGAAAACAAGTGGAAGATATATGGAGCTGGAAAGGGGGAGGCTATGAAAAAGGAGTGTCCATTAATTGGGGAATAGCCGAACAAATTCTGGCATAGGGGTGTCAGGTAATATTATGGCATAAGAAATGACAAAATGGATGGATTCAGAGAAATTTGGGAAGTTCAGTACAAGTCCATTAATTCAATTTATTAGGAAAATTCAATTAATTCAATTAATTTAACAATAGCAAAACTTAGTTTACTTTAATCGTTCAATTTTTCAAAAATCTCCTGTTTTGTGTGAGCACTCCTTCCACTTATAAAGATCACAACCCACTATAATTTAATAGGTGACCTGTAACAGGCTTTTCTAAAGGCCCCAGAAGTGATTGGGGCTAATGGCTCAATGAGGATATGGGGAAGGTACAGGCATAGAAACTGCATACAGAATACATGCACCAGAGAGGTCAGGTTTCTGGTTTTTCTACCCTTCGTTCCTCAAGTTGTGTAGTCTTGTGATGGGAAGGGAGGAGGGGGGAGACATCCTTCACATTCCACTTAGGGTTTTCCTTTCAAGTGGCTAGAGCAGAGTAGCACTCTACAAACCACACACGTACACCCCTAGAACTATGCAGACTTAAAGAAGATAGGACAGGAACGTTGGAAGTGGAACCGATTGCAGAGAATTCAAGGTGAGCAAAATTAGGGGAGCACAAACCATGGCTACGGTGATCTCACTCGGTGCCAGGTCCAGCATTTCTTGCTCCTTATTTCCTGAGAGCAGTTGAAAATTCAAATTACAAAACTTGTTAAATCTTTCCATATTAATTGTCTTTCCTTAAACTGCCTAGAAGGAGATATTTGGAGCATCAGAGTAGTAACGGAAGTTGACCCTACCGTAACAAACCCTGAAACTTTTTAATTTGAAAATTCTTTACAATTTTTGTTATTTGATATTTCCCAAACCACATTTTTTTAAAAGTAAATTGTAACATCCTATGAATGGGACAGTGGGGAGGGATGGTAATGAGATGAGACATTTCTAAACACAGAAAATTGGAGATACAAGTTGATATGAGGGGGATATCCTCTTGTGGTCATTTTTTAGCATATTAACTCCATATTCATGCTTTTTAAAATGGTGACACTACAACCACTCACTGGTTGAAGAGGCCAATGAGACGGAGACTGGATTATTCCTGTGAGGTTGGAGCACCATCTGGTGAAAAGTAAGGGAAACTGCAGCTGATGGGGAAAGTTCCCATCCAAGGCGCTTGTCATCTTCTGACATAGTTGGAAAGTGGTGCCGCCTAGTGGCCATGTTGATCATTATAGTCATCCAGCCTGAACCATTCTATTAGCTCAGCTTTAAGACTGAAATGAAATGAGATACTACTAGCACAGTTAAGAAAAAGAGGGAAAATATTTAGATCAGGGAAAGGATATTCAGACGAGTGCAGCATTCATTCAGATGGATGCAACTTCCTTATCTCTATGCTATCTGTGATATGATCATAATAATAATGATGATAACAATAATAATGGCCAATATTTATATAATGCCTACTAGTACTATATAAATATTGCTTATGCACTGTGCTAAGCACTTTATTCACAACAACCCTGAAGGCAAACAGAGGTCAAGTGACTTGCCCAGGGTCAAACAGCTAATGAGGGTCTGCCTGCTAATTCTCTCCTTCCTTCCTATTAAATTTGGGTATTGTGATGGCCTCTCTGTTTCTCGTCTGAGGATCAGCCTAACTAAATTGAAGGCCAGATTTGAACTCACATATTTCTGATTTGAGGCCTACCTCTCTATCCACTGTACCAACCAGCCAACATGATGGTCAAATATCTGAGAGAATGCCAATTCCTCATGCCCTGGATTTTCTACACCTATACTACCAGCCATATCAGTACACCAGCAATGAGTCTCCTGAGGGAATTAAGAACTATTTCAAGACACTGAAAAGAAAAACTAATCTAGCCTACATGTGGCAGGACCTTGGGAGAGTACTCCTACCATAGACACATACCCAGCTGGTTAATTAATCAATTAATTGACAATTTGCTGCTTGTGGTAGATTACAAAAATCGGAGGAAGGAGCCAGTTATGGATGAACATAGCTCAGGAAGCAGCACCATCCACATACGTGCACCTGCCACCTCTCACACACACACTGCCCAATCACAAGTCTTTGGTAGTTGCTATGGTCCAAAAATTCACTACCTTGCAGCCAATGTAGAGATGACCTTCTCCAAACCTGAATAGCTGATCCTCAGACAAAAGACACCAAACTCAAATTTGATAGAAGCTAATAAGCATTTATTAAGCACCTACTATATGCCAGGCATTACACTAAGAAATTTACAAATATTATCTCATTTGACCCTCACAACAATACTGGGAGATAGATACAACTATTATTCCCCATTTTATCATTGAGGAAACTGAAACAGAAGTGGTTAAGTGACTTACCCTGATCACCCAGCGAGGAAGTATCTGAGGCTGGATTTGAACTCAAGTTTTCCCAACTCCAAGTCCACCATTCTATCCACTGTGCCATCTAGCTTATTAACCCTTTACTCCTCCCACTCTGGTCCTCCACTGCCATTTTCCCACCTAATGAAATTCTATCAGTTCTTTAATGTTGACTTCAAATGCCACCTCCTCAAGGAAACTTTCCCTAATCTTCTGTGTTAGCCTAATAAAGATAAAATAGTATTCAGGATTGTTGTGCAGATAGTGTTAATAGAGGAGGAGGACAGTTACAGGGCAAAGCGAGGTATCTTACAGGCATAAATGGGAACAAGAATCAGCCAGCAGCCTCATGGAGGAACCTAAAGATTCAGGATACCCCTTCATCAAATAATTAAATCAATCCTAGTCCAGTCGGCTAGGTGGCACAATGGGTAGAGTGCAGGACTTAGAGTCAGGAAGACCTCAATTCAATACTACCTCAAATGTTTACCAGCTGTATGACCCTGGCCAAGTCATTTCATCTTTCTTAGCCTCAGTTTCATTATAAATAAAACAGGGATAATAGCAGCATCTACTG